TGGCAGAGTGTCCTGGCAGCACGTTTTCCGGGGAACAAAGGAGGCGGCCAAGCGGCAATAAATGGCCTGCAGTCCCCTCCCTGCAGCCTCCTGGGGGCCACCTGCGGCTGCACCCCATCCGTGGGCCTAAGTGGGTCGTCTGTGAGCCCTGCAGACCCAGGCGGGGGTCCCCTGCCAGCCACTCACAGCGGCATGGCCTTGGGCAAGTTCCTTCCCGGCTCCCCTCCCGGAGCCCCACTGTGCGTCTGCACGGTGCTCCGCCGTGAATCTTAGGCCTCTGGTGAGGTCAGACTGGGTGTCCCCTTTTACAGCTGGAGAAATAGAGGACCAGAGAGGACACAGCAGGTAGGGAGGGAGGGCCATGTGGGGTCCGCTGCTGGGCCGCCTGCCCCTGCCCTGCCCACCTGCTCCCCCGCAGGCCGCCACGGCAGGAACCCAGGCATCCCCTCGAAATCCTCTCCCCGACTCGCAGGCAGGGAACCGAGGCTCAGAGAGGGGTGCCGGGTGCTTCTCACCGCACGGCTCTATTCCGGCCCCTCTTCCTTCTTGAACTTATTTTGTTAACGAGATGAAACTCACATAATATAAATGTAACGATTCCAAGTGGCCTGTCAGTGGGTTTTGTCATTCACGATGCCGTGCAGCCACCGTCTCTGTCTCACCATCCGCCCTAGGAAGCCTGTACCCTGGACCCCTCTCCCAGGCCCCTCATTGAACAAAAGGGGAACCCGAGGCCTGGGGAGGGACTCACTGGGGGCAGAGCATGAGCCTGGGCACGTAATGCGCTCAGGATGGTGGCAGAGCAGAGGGCCCCAGGGCAGGCGGGAAGAGCCACCAGGCTTCCTTCCTCGGCTCCCGGAGCCCAGAACCGGCCCCCAGGCCCCTCCCACCAGGGGGCAGCAGAGAGCTTTCCAGAACCCAGGCCAGGGTGAGGGCCTGGGCCCAGCAGAGCTGTTGACAAACCTGGGCTTGACCTCAATCTGCCTTCTCGGGCTGGTGTGAAAGCGGGGAGGAGGCCGCACAGTAATTGAAACCAGGAAGCCCTGGGCAGCGCCCGTCACAATTGCACGGTCTCTGAGTCGCCGGCCGCCAGGCAGCGCCAGGCTGGGCCTGCAGCCACGGGGGCACCGGCGTGGGACCCAGGCCGTCCGCAAACAGCCTGCCTCGGACCACGGGGCCTCGAAGCCGGGCCCCCCTGTCCTTCCACAGGCTGTCCTCCCCCTGCCACGGGGGCACCGGCCGACAGGGACCCGCGGCTCTCGGCGGCAGACCTGGAGGTGCAGAGGGAGGCTCAGTCCTGCTCCCCCTGGGCTCAGACTCAAGCCCCCACCTTCAGGCTGTGGGGTTTGTGGGAAGAGCTTATTTCTCTGAGTCCTGGTTGGTTACGACACGCGCGATAGACCCTGTACCGGGTGGAGCGAGGCTTTGAGCTGCCGGCCCAGCTGGGCTCCGGGCGGCCTGCGACCTGTTTCCTATTCACGAAGCAGTTACTCTAGGACGAGCGCCAGCACCAGGGGCTCCAGACACCGAACCAAAGCTCCAGTCACTGGCCAAGCACTTCCCCACTTAGACCCTCAGTCTCTTCTTCATCTGCAACCGGAGACAACCACTCCTCCAGGTTCTGAGGATGAAGGGACCGTGTGCCGGGCGCCGCGTGGGTGTGCGGAAC